AATTCTTGGTTTTCTTGTATTGCTGTAGATAGACGATCATCTACCTCGTACAAAGTCTTTGACAACTCTGATACTTGGCTATCTAATAAAGATCTCATATGTGATTCAAATCGAATACTTTTCTGCAATTGCTGCACGTCATGCATCCTATTACCATTTATTTTTTTCTTAAAATTATCGAGATTTACCTGCAACTCGTTTCGCAGTTTCTCACATACATGATATTTTTTATTTACAATGTGCTTAGCTGACATCTTCACTCGAAATGCCACGTTTGCCTTCTAATGCTTCAACGCGTTTGACCATAGGATTTATAGTGTTCTTAGTAACCCTGTCTAGTTCATCACTTAAACGCTTATCAAGGTCATAGACTTTCTTTGATACGGTTGATATTCTTCCTTCCAAAAGCGCCAATTGTGAAGATACATCACGAATATTTCTATGTATTGGAGTCAAGTCTATATGTTGTATTGCAGATTTGATGTTATCCAATTCTACCGTCACAGTATTTATATTTTTAGCTGCATCAGTACTACTTTTCTTCATGTTTTTTCGAAGAAACGTTTTTGCATTTACAATAGCTTCATCTACATATTTTTTTGTTGCCATGTGTTTACCTGCAATAGGAGGGTCTCTCGATATAAACTCAGCTATTTCACGAGTTTCTGCTGGTAAGGTTTTAAATTCGATAACCGAAGTATCTATGTATTTCTTAGTAGCAGCGTCCGAATCAGCTGTTGGTTCTTTTATGTTGCATAACTTTACGTTTTCAAAGTCAATATTTCCATCGGAAGTATGAGGAAGAGTTAATTTTAGAGGAATACGAGCGTAGGGGGCTAATTTTTGTTTATCAAAGCGACGTCCGAATTTATCGAGACTCATTTTGCAAATGAAACTTTGGTAACCAAATTACCATATTATATTAGCTTCTTTCAGCTCATTGATAATAGCGGTTATCTCGTTTTGTTGGGACGTATTTCCCGCTTGTTTCGAAGCAACTAACAACTTTAATCTATCGACCAATTCATTCGGATCGTCCCAATAGACGTATTCTATAGGTTTTTCATTATAAATTAAATCAAGGTTTTGTGTTGGCAATGATTTGAGTTTTGATAATCCTGCACCTTCTCGGGAACTAAACAGAGGTCGGATAATTTGCATATACTTTGATCTTTGTGTACCTTTTAAATGTCCTAAAGCAGTTCGATGAACATTTGTCGTTTCCAAAATGGTTTTGTATGCCTTTAAGTCATCAGGAGTATACACAGGTTTATCGTAAAAAATTAATTGATACAAGCCAGGAGTCCCCGGTGTCAAATACATCTGATTGCCGCCACTAAGTAATTTTATGTTTCCAGTTTTGGACTCAAATTCCATACGCTTGCTTCCCAGAAACCACCAGTCATTGTCTTCATCATATACTGGGCCGTATACTTGATCGATTTTGTTATCTTTTTGCCAGTAGTCTTGAACAACGGGTAGGCTCATTGGAGGATATTGTTCCAGATATTGTGCAACTACTTGTGGAGCTAATGATTGATCAGAAGTCGGTGAAATTTCATCATCATTTTCACTAAATTCTTCGGGGTTGTCTTCAGTAGCAGCAACCTCTTCCAACGAAATGAAATTAGGTTTGACGGGAGATGAGGTTTTTGGCGGATTAAACTGTGTACTGCCATACGTTTCATTGTGGTCAACTTTCGGTTCCTCTTTTTTGACAGAGTAATTTGTTGAGGTTTTTACAATTTCTTGAAGGGGTTCAGATATCGGTTTGAAAAGTTTCTTAATAGACTCATCTTGTTCGCTCCTACCTAATTTTAAGGTTAGGTACTTTTTACGTATAGATCGAGCAAGTTCTGCAATCTTTCGCTTATGCGTAGCAACAGCAATGTGGTTCTTTGACAACATGATACCAAATGACAATATATGAGCTACTCCTACAATTTTATGTACTTATCAAAGCTTACTCTGTATCGACCGCGATTAAGAGAACAGTCTTTGACAATAACTAAAGTACCATAGTTTTCAGCCCAACACTCTGAACACATTTTCTTGAATTCTTCAAAGGTAACATCTGGAGATACATGCTCATCAAATATGTGTTTTAGGTTAACTTCATCCTGTTTGAATAGTACAATGATGTTGCAGTTATCTCGAATTAGCTGTTTTGGAATTTTGGAGTACGTTTGACAGAGATAAGCAGCATCGATATCTTTATGACGACACGTTGAGTAATATTCACGAATTTTCTGCTGTCCATCGCAAGCCACATCATCAAATATGAATACCGAGTTATTTTTAGCCTTACTAGGACTTATGATTTCTTCGTTGTCTTTAAATGGGAAATAACCAATGCCCTTAGCGTGTTTAATCACCTCTTGAAGTAGTTGATACTTTGGTTGGTATAACGACTTTGAGTAAACGTAGACATTTTTGAATTTAGCGCCATTTGGATCGAAAAGCAATGACAACATAACGTTCGTTTTTCCACATCCACTGGGTCCACAAATGATGGCGCGAAACGAATTCGGTAATAGTTTGCCATGTTTACTATGTTGAGGCTCTGTCGTAAAGTCCAAGTTAATAATGGGTAACGTCTGCTCTTGTTGAACAACCTTCATCTTGTGAAATTCGAGTACGAAATGTAAGGTTATAAATGTAGATTGTGCTACTCCTCATCATCAGTCTTCATGTTGGTGTATCAAGGTGAAGGTGTCTTGAATTCTCTCATTAATAAATTGCCAGTCGAGTTGCATGTACCTGGCTATCAATATTGTGGACGTAAGTGTGTGTGTGTGATGCTGCGTATTTCTTTTCTCTAACTTAACGTTGTTTTCAGCTGGAACAAAACTACAAAAGAGGCTTGCACGTGGAGATCCAGGTATTAATCCGTTAGACGCTGCTTGCAAACAACACGATATTGCTTATTCGCAAAATAAATCGCTAGAAAAACGACATAACGCAGATCGGATACTTGAAAACGCTGCTTGGGAACGAGTAAAGTCCAAAGACGCTTCTGTTGGTGAAAAAGCTGCCGCTTGGTTTGTTACCAATTCTATTAAAGCAAAAAGAAAACTAGGCATGGGTTTAAAGGCTCGTCGTCGTCGTCGTAGTCGTTGTCCTCGTACGAAACGTTCCTTTCAACGTGATGTTGTGATGAAAATTGCAAAGTCTTTTACGCCTACATCAACTTTAACAAAGTCTGCTTCTAATGCATTAAAAGCAGCAAGACTTGTTGTCAAAAGAGCTGGTGGAAGAAAAACTGTACGTGTTCCCAGAATTATTCCTATAAACAAATCCGGGAGAATATTGCCTCTGATACCGATTTTTGCTGCACTTGGAGCCCTCGGCAGTCTTGCTGGTGGAGCAAGTGCCATTGCGAAAACTGCTATTGATGCTAAAAACGCTCAAAAGAAGCTCGAAGAAGATCAACGTCATAACAAAGCGATGGAAGCGGTCGGTAATGGACTGTACTTGAGAAAAAATGCTAAGGGAGGCTTCGGTCTATTTCTGAAAAAGCAAAAAAACTAATAACGCTACCCAATAGACCATTATACGATTACGAAATAACACGTTACGCTAAGCAACTTAAAATACCACATTTTCGAGGAGTTTTTATGAGGGACACTTTACCCAAGTCCGGTCCTCGTAAATATGAATGTGGTATTGTAAATTTAGATACATCAGAAAATAGTGGTACTCATTGGGTAGCATATAAGAAGATAAACAAAGTTGTGAAATATTTCGATTCATTTGGTAATTTGAAGCCGATGAAAGAACTTGTGCGATATTTAGGAAAAAACGTTAAACTATTTTATAACAACGATTCTTTTCAAACGTACGATCAAAGTAATTGTGGGCACCTATGCCTCCAGTTTTTAGCAAAATGATGAAACTTGAAGAAGAAGATTTACAAATGATTATTAAATTATTTATGTGGAATTCTGTAGAATTGCAACATATTTGGTATACACTCACGAAGGAATACCAATGTAAATTGATGCATCTTTTACCTTGTCAAACAGATTCATCCCGTCATGTATGGTCAGACGTATGCGGAAATTACATTTCTTATTGTATATGTTGTAATAAAGAATTTGAATAAACCTGGGTATTATTTAAGTCCTTACACTACTACAATGAAATCAGTCATCATGTCACAGTTGCTGAGAGTAAACAGCACTAATCACATATTTTCATTTCGACCTTCTACACCGATAGTGTTGGATCCGAAAAAAGATTATGAATTGGCACTTAGATCTTTCAATTCATACAATTCCATACCAAACATTGAACAGAACGATAAATTTTATTATATTGATCAGAGAAACAAGCTGAACGTTATCGAGTTTCCTACAGGATGTTATGAAATTACCGACATAGAAGCATTTATCCGAACGAAAATGGGCCTTGAAAATGCAACTAACCCTGAACAACATTTTTCTCTGAAACCTAACAATAATACATTGAAATGTGAAATTTTTAGCAAATATTATACAATATCGTTTAAAGAACCGAATAATATTGGGCATATATTGGGATTCTCAAGAAAACACCTTAGTCCTAACCAAACGCATTCTTCAGATTTGCCTGTCAAGATTATAAAAGTATCGACTATCCACTTTGATGCCAACATTACGTTGGGATCCTTTGACGGAGACAGACCTGCACACACGATCTACGAATTTGCCATAAAAGTCGATCCTGGCTATGCTATAAACGAAACGCCACTAAATTTACTGTATTTACCAGTTATACCACAACGAGAAATAACCAACATTACAGTGCTGGCTTTAGATCAAGAAGGTCATCCCGTAAATTTTCGAGGTGAAAATAGTACTCTTGTATTGGAGTTGAGAGCAAGAAGCAGATGGGATTAGTTATAAGAGGCAGTGGTGCATCCAAATCTTCAGTGTTGCCACAAGTGCCTAAGCGACGACATCTAACCATAGCAAATATATTGTTTCTCCGTTCACTTGGATATCATGTCAACGATGACTATGTACAAAAGAAAAAGAACTGAAGAGAAAGCACATACACATACTTCTTCAATATTTGATCTGTATCAATCTCCAACGTTCGATGAGTCCATTCGCAAGTCTGAGTATAGATCTTATACGCCATTCATCAAGTCATTCAATTGTAATGATTCTGTGGAATTTAACGTCAATCAAGTGGATTCGTTCTTTGCCATGTTCGCTTCCCGGATAGCCATCAAAGGAAAACTAGAAGTAACTGGTAAAGGAGATGTAACTTTAGCACCCAACTTTGGGGGCTTCCTTTTTGACTCTTGTACGTACAGCGAATCAGCTAGAGAAGTTGAAACAGTGCGTGATCCTGGAATTGTAAGTGCTATTCGAGCATATACTTGTTACAACAAAGACGATGCAAATCATATGAGTATAGCTGGTTGGAACTATCCTTCAGCACCGATCCTCTCTGCACATGACAAGTCTTTTAGCTTGCTGATGCCACTTAAACATATTTTCAACATTTTCAACGATTATCCTATGATTACGTGTGGCAGACAAACTTTCAGATTTGTACGAGCTAGAAATGATAACGATTGCGTTATTATCAAGGAAAAAGTTGGAGAAACTGGAACAACAGCGAAAATTGTTATCGAAAGCATCGAATTGAAAATCAAACATATTTATCCGAATGATGATGTAAAACAACAACTTTTAAAATCTATTCAGACTGACAAGCCGATACTAATTCCGTTTAGAAAATGGGACCTTAACGAATTGCCTACAATAACTGCAGGTGCGAGAAGAGAAATATGGGCAGTTAAAACCAGCACCGCAATTGAAAGACCGCGTTTTATTATCGTATGTTTCCAAACTGATAAACGTGATGCTGTTGAAGCAGATCCGACCCTGTTTGATCATGTAAATACGGCTAGCATTCGAGTATCTTTGAATGGTGAATACTATCCCAATGAACGTATGCAGTTAGACTTTGCAAATAGTCACTTTGCTGAGGCTCATTTTAACTACAGCGACTTTCAAGTCAGTTATGCAAACTCTACTGTGAAGAAATGTCTTTTGGATTATGTTGCATTTAAAAATCGTGCTTTGTTCGTTATTGATTGTTCAAAGCAAGAGGAAACTATGAAATCATCTACTGTCGATGTGAGATTGGATATCGAAGCCGATACTGGATTCCCGGGCAACACTAAAGCCTACTGTATAATTATTCATGATTGCTTAATGGAGTACTTCCCCCTCACCGAAGTTATTAAAAACATCTCGTAAGAAACGTTAGCCTCAGATTCAAAAGAGACGTCATGAGAATCGCACTCGTCGACATTCAAGGCTTCATCGTTGATGACTTATTTGTACCCAAAGAATTAAGCATCAACATTGGTTTCAAGACGAGCCATTACATCTTTACACCTCCGCAGCCATTTGCTACATTAAGTAATAAAGACAAAAAAACTGCATCGTATTTAGAGAAGAATTTACATGGCATTAAATACTCTTCGGGTAACGTAGAATATTCCAAGTTGAATAAAATACTTGAGAATAAGTTGTTGCTTGCTGCAGACTATATTTATGTTCGAGGAGAACAGAAAGCAGGATTTTTACTTAAGAAATGCAACATTTTAGGCGTTTTTCCCAACATTATTGACGTTTGCAAGTATGATGGTACGCCCTGTGCAACTGGAAAGTTTGCAGCTGATATCAACCCATGTCATGCCACTGGACAATTTTCTTGCACCCAACGAAATGTGGAACGTCTACGCCAATGGCTTATAAATGTAATATTACCTATGTAATGGGTAGTTTTTTAAATAAATTTTAATTCTTTAACGTATGATTTGGGTTTTATTGAAACGCCTTTCCTTTTTAAATATTCATTTTAATGCAAGAAGATTCGCATTTGCGATTTACAATTTTTACAACAATATTTAACAATATTATTATTATTATTCCAAAAAGTATAATGTATAAAAGTATAACTGATGTATCATATTGGATGATTTCATCGGTCTCGTACCATCTTGAATCGCTCTCCGTGTTATCAGGAAATATAAGCTTTATCTTGTAGAATTGTCTTGGCTGTATTTCTTTGAAGAATACTGGAAGTTGCCCATCATTTACTACTTTATGATCCATCAAAGTCCATTCAGTTCGATTACAATCACTTTTTACATCATTAATACAAATTGCCAAATTCTTGACGTTATTGGGGACATTTGTATATAAGACATTATTAAAAATAGCCGTTAGGATGATGAATGATTCTGCTACTTGTAACATCTTGTAGGCCGAATCCTTCTTAGTGGATATTGAGCTGCTGGCGTCTTGTAATTTAGAAATACTTTATCCCACACACTTAGGTTTGCTAGTTGCGCTACGATTATTTTCTTATCTTCGTACAAAGCTATTTGTTTATTTAATTTACGAATATTTTCACAAAATTCTTCAAGTTTGCGTCCTTGTTCGTCGGATGACATCATAATACTAAATCATTTAACCACTTACTTTGATTTTTCAGGTAGGAGAATTTTTTCAATATTTTTCCCGTAATCTACACATAAATACCTTTTCAACGAGGTATCACATGCTCCAGGGCGGGGGCGGGGGTCGCGGGGGCGGGGGTGCGGGGGTGCGGGGGTGCGGGGCGCCTGGCACGAACCATGCGATCCCACTATGCCTGACCAAGTCCGCGCGAATCGTTCCCCTCTCTCTAACACATTGATTTCCCATACCTATAGGTACCTCTCTCGCTAACACATTG